TGAGTTCAGAGCACATTTTAGAGCTGAGATGGGCAGTAATTGTCCTGGAGTGCTTCATTTATTTTCGGTTTCTTCTGTTTTCGTAATTACATGTCCTCTTGATGACAGTCTGAGCATAATTCCTAACTTGTTCTATTCTGAACATTATCGTTTCAATTATTGCCCTTTCTCTACATAATATCAAATTTCGTTTTAGGGAGTGAAATCGACGATATCTGGGAGTGGTGTTGATAGGCAGCAGAAAGCGGTATAACGGTTTTAAAAAAGCATTTAAAAGATGTGAAGATGTTATAAAAGTTAAAAACCCCTGACGACCAGGACTCCACATCATAATTCTACTGAAATCCCATTAGAAATACGAGACGTGAATACGGAGCATGACAATAACCATCAACCTATTGGAGTTTGGGGAGATCAGATTATTTGATTAGAGTCTTCAAATGAACTCATTTTGAGCCTTTAAAGCACTGGTATAATTTTTGGATGTTCCAGGCAGTTTCTTTCGTTGATCTAAACTTTCCACTGTGGGCTTTGAATTATTTTGTACTGAATACGTGCCTTTAAAGTTTCATTTCCTCTTTCTAAACCACTTTGCTGATGTTGGAGAAACAGCTTTAGACCTTTCCTTATGAAAGAGGTTTTGTTCTGTGATCTACATGGTTAAGGGAAAACTTAAAAAGTTCAGAATATGTGACGGAAGTCGTACTCAAACCTGTCCAACAACTAAAACATTTCTTTACGTGTTTTCATTTTCAATTACAGTGCTGTATACCATTTTAAATTTGAGCATTAAATTATGGTTAATTGTGGTACTTTATTTTCAAACATTGTTTATAAATCGGTGTCTTAAGACACTGATTTTCTGCTCGAATCTCCCTATAAATGAAAATAAAATGCTTTAGAGTCCAGTGGATGTAAGACATTTAAACAACGGTTTTCTCAGTTCTGTAGTACCTCTTTCTGAATTTTTTCCAATGAAATGAAAGCTATCAAAAAAGATCAGCCATTAGCAATGGATGTTACCATACAGTACTGGCAAAAAGATAATTGATTGCCCCCCTACTTCACACAAACACATTTTGTTGTCACTTATACTTCCCCTTTATTTTCACATTAGTTAACCCACTGCTATCACACAAACTTTATTCTTACCCTTAAGAAATGTGTTAACACAATAAAACACTAAAATGAACGTTAGCATTACTCTTTGTAAAATTGCTCCTTTTAGTTCAAACCTAGGGGTTAGTCAACGTGGCTTTAGAAAAAGGTAGGTTTTGATCAGAGGCTGGATAAGATCATTGGATCCAAAATGCCAATTGTCTTCCTCTTGTTTGCAACATTTCTTAATAGATTAATCCATCCATTTTCTAAGTACTTTCTAAGTGCTTTATCCAATTCAGGGTCACGGATGAGACTGATGTTTGGTCAAATGTGTATTTTTATATATATATACACACCATAGTACAGCTGTAATATACTTTATACCGATTATACCAAAATTACTTATTAATGGCAGCATTACCTCTTACCTTAAAACACTCTCATCCTTGTTGGTTGACTCACACATTTAGATGTGAACTAAAATTTAGCAATAGAAATGATAATTTTTTTTCATTTCAGCATTCAGTTTGCTGCCATTGCAGGGCAATTCAGGTAGTTTGTGCGATTGCAAGTAATGTATGATTTATTTTACCTAATGAAATATCTTAGAATGGTAAATTTCTTATTTTCTTTTCTGCTAGTTTGCCCAGTCATTTCCTTATAGTGACTTCATCCCATCCATGTTTTGAAGAACTGCAGTATAACTGATCAGTTTTGGACAACATAATTGCACAGAATTATTTCAAAATAGGAAAGTCATTGCCACCATCACAAAATATTTTGAGCATTAATAGAAACACCAGTTTCTATTCATTAGAAAAATAAAGCATAGCAAAAATTTGGGCTTTTAATTGTACGGAGGAGTGGTGGTTAGCACTGCTGCCTCACATTTCTTGGTTCCTGGGTTTGATTCTGGTTTGGGGTACTATCAGTGTGGAGTTTGTATGTTCTTCCTATGACCACAGAGGGTTTCTCTCAGTGTATAGTCTTCCTTCATATGCCCAAAGACATCTGTCCAGGTTAATTCTCATTACTAAATTGTCCCCTTTAAGTGGGAAAAACAACATCTGACCCAAGGTTAAGAAATACATATTTTGGCCCACTTATGAAGAGAATGTCTGCATGCGCTCCCTGCTACTTGCCGTCTAGGATGAACAGGAGTCTTAATGAGATCGACTGATCCACCTGTTCCAATATATCAGAAACATGAAGTCACAGCTAGGACTGATGGTGACCTGAGTGGACAGCCTTATCTTGGTGGATGAGAATGTGATTCTTTTTGCCCACTTGCATAAAATAAAATGAAAGAAAAGCATTGCATATTTTAAACATACTACAATTATTGGACAACAGAATTTAAACAATTTCATGGCACATCTCATTTTCCTTAGCTAAAGTTGTATGAAATGAAATATCAAGTTAAGCAAAAAGAAAAAACACTGTATTCGAACTAAGGCATCAAGAAAGGTTGAGCGCAAGAGACAGGTACAACTGTTTCTGTTCAGATATTTATGAAAGCAGAAATCCAAACTACTTCAGAGATCCTTAAACACCTTAACAGCCCTTACGACACCCCCACGTAACCATTTGGGGCTGAGCCTCATTGGGTTACATGGGTGGCAGGAAACCAAGTGCTTGCCAACAAACACCACCCTTAGGCCTGGCTCCGTGTGTCCCAGATCCAGGTAGGGTTCTCTGAGTACTTAAGGGAACCATCATGGGAACCTAGTTTGGATTATTGTCTGACCTCTCACCTTAGAACAATTTGTCAAGGGTAAACCTACCAGGAGCACAAGTTTCCCTAGGGCACTTAGAGGAGGGGCTTATGGAGCTCTGGGTTGTGACCGAAAGAATGAGATTGCAGGGACATGTGGCAGAAATGAGGTTTCTCTACAGGGCATCTGGGCTTATTCTCCATGACAGGGTGAGGAGCTCGGCAATCCGGGAAGACCTTGGAGCAGGGTTGTTGCTCCTGTCGATCAAAAAGAAACCGTTGAGATGCTTCAGCGATCTATTGAGGATGCCCCTGGGTGCCTCTTGCCGAGATGTACTGGTCATGGCCCACTGGGAAGAGACCCCGGAGAATATCCAGGACATGCTGGAGGTACTGTATCTGTCAAATGGCCAGGGAATTCCCAGACTGTTGCTGGAAAAAGGAATGTCAAGTCTGTGCTTCTCAGTCTGTTACCACTACAACTATCACCAGGCATAAGCAGTTAGAAAAAGAGACGAGAGAAGATGGAAAAATTAGCAGCATGAAGGTAGCTTTCAGCTTTTCAGTCTTGATTGTTGCTGTAAAATAGCATTTACAGCACATGTCCTCCAGGAGTGAAGGTGAGTGCATGTGGGCTTAAAGACTAACATTTATGAAACTGAATTTCAGTTCTGTGATGTGCTAAGGGAAACTCAATTGGTGACAGCTATGTGTAGTATACAGTACAATTTATATAATATGAATGTTAATCTCATTACCTAAAAGCTAATGAAATAGGTGATAATCATCTTACATTACAGGAATATTCCTTGTGGAGTGTAAATGATCCAAAATGCAAAGTCCATTACCCTAATAGGCTAAATATTCATTTATTTTTAAAAACCATACACATTACTCGACAAGTTTCAAATGTAAATCGAATCACAATAACCATTAACATTGCTGAAGATAAACAGACATTAAGTACTTTTATTTCCAAATGTTAAGATAAAAAAAAATAATAATCCATAAAACAGATGGATAAACATTCATTCCCGTAATAGGAAGAAGCTGCAGAATAAACATTTTATGGATCTTTTTCCATTTTTTGTTTTTTCAATCTCAAGCTATTTCTTATTTTTGTAAAACGAAGGAAAAAAGTCAATCCAAAATAAATTCGCAAATGAGCTGAGTGAAGAATTGCATTACATCCCCTCTCCCCTCCCTCCTTCCCTCGCAATACTAACATTTGGTTTGCAAGGTGTCCAGGAGGAGGGGAAAAAATCTGCATTTGAACCCTGCTGCAACACAAGAAAATAAAACAACCCACATGGTTAACAAGCTATATTTCACAACATAAAAAAATGTTAGTATTTTGACTGTAGGCTTTTATAAATACCTACTTCTAAAACATACTATTTGCCACCCTGAGAAAGATACTCCTATCAGAACCATCACACCCCACCCTCCCCGCTGACACCCAGTCCAACCCTGCAACTGACTCATTTCAAAAACCCAAACTATGGTTCTGTAGGTCAAAAAGTTTACTTCTGCATTTTTCATAAAAAATACAAAGGTACATTTTACACGGTCATCTGTATCAAATTTTCTAAATGGGAGGTGTTATGAAATAAAGTACCTTGTGCAGCAATACCAGTGTATATCTTTAATCGTTCTTTAAATCCATCAAAACTTTAGTGTTTCCAGTATATCAGGTGCCAAAATATCTACAAAACATGAAAATGCAGCAACATTTTAGAACTTTTAGGGGAATCTTAAGCAATTAGTATTAAGATGAAGAAAGAAAATGCTAACAGATATTTGATGTCTTCAAAAGTTCAATAACCTTAAAAATCTCAATGGGAAGTATTAAATATTTACTAGGAGGAAAAAAATCACCCACTTTTGACCAAGACAATACACTACCTAAACAAAACAAAAAGAGTAAGGTTAATATGCTTATCATTTGGATATTTACCTTTAAATTTGATTCTACGCCTGAGTTGTTTTAAAAAGTATTATTGTACATTGGCAGGGACTGAGTGAGGGGTAGATTACTGATGTTATGAATGTAGGTGTTTTCAAATAAAGGATTGTCTCCCAGTTTTCTTTCTCATGGCCAGTAATTGTCTCGACTACTATAGTGATTATACCCTTGGTTTTGGAGATCTGGACAGTGAAAACCCGATATTTACATCACTGCATAAATTTTTTTTAAAGAATCAACCCCTGAGCCCCACCCTCCCACCCTCAATTCAAAACATTACTCAATAAACAGTTCCCCAGGAACATGGGAAACTTAACTTTGAAAAAGTTTTAAAGCAATTAAAGTAGTAAATATTTATAGAAATGTAACTAGACAGAGGCCACTGTTCCCCTCCCCTGCCTCCCTCCCCAAACCTACTACAAACACCTCTGCTCATTGCTATACAAGCCTTAGTGTTATCTGTTTGGCTATAAGTATTAGCTATTTATCTACAAATATTTAACAAATACAACTTGCAGGCAAAAATAGTACAGTTTCAATAGAAACACCCTTATTCCTGAAAATACAGCAGTATCTGAAAGTTTACTTTCATTCCATTTTATTTTATATCATTGCATGACGTGTCAGGAAGCTTTTCACCTACAACAGAAAAAAGTATCTACAAACCTTGTAAACAGATCTGCTTTCTTCAAGAACATAAATAATTCAAAATATTAACAGCCAATGGCAGAAATTATATTTAAATGAGCAAAGGGCCAAAAAATAACACCATTCAGATTAAGAGTAACAAAAGCATTGGTAATCTCAGTTCTACCTTTACAGCTGTTTCTTCAGTAGAGGACAATCCCCATACCTCTCAAGAAGTCACCTTTAATCTGAGTTTAAACATCCCCCTTCCACCACGAAAGATTTATTGGGGAGGAAGAAGCAGAAATTAAGAGCCACCTTTGTTTTTTGAAGGGACACAAAGAACAAAAAAATACATCAAAACCAAACCCACATTCTTCTGAATGTTTTCTTCTTCTTCAGTCCAACACAAGCTATGAATACAGAGGATATTATCGAGCCACCCTCCTCAAAACATTTCTTTCCCCTGAAAAATGTTCAATTATGTAAAAAAAAGCAGTTGCTGTGTTCTGCGCTCCAATCAGAGTGATGTTTCCAGACTGTGAAGCGGGCTTCCTGGGGAAGAAGAGGTAGCCGATTTGCTTGTGTCGAGGGCGAGGTGGATACCACTGTCAACAGCGTTATTGTTTTTATTTGGTGAAGGTGGGGGAGAAGAATTGCGGGGTGATGAGGAGTTGCGCTTAGTAGGTGCATCATCCTCAGCATCTGTGTCATCAATGAGAGGGATGTGGGGCTCAGAATCTTCTATCCGGAATTCAGGATGGGTCATGAAGTTGTGGATGGAGCTCCTGGATTCTGGTTTCTCCAATCCCTCATATAGGGAACTGCGGAATGCATTCACTACTCGGATCTGTGATAGGGTGGGCGGAAATGGGTGGAAGAAAATGAAAAAGAAGTTAGTGTCACACTAAAAAAATAATGAAGAGGAAATATGTCCCCCGGAGTTTAATAAATGGTTTATTTTAAACATTAAAAAAAAAAGAGATGAATTCCAGAATCGTGCAGTATGTAATGAACACTCGGAAATAGTGGTAGATACACAAAAACTCCTTTAAAGTCTAGCATTAATCCTACAAATGGGCAAATGCTAGATTTTAAAACCAGGATATAGACGAACATTTACTTACCAGAAGGTCCAACAAACAAAATAAGGGGATGTATACACATTTTACTGCAGTTAACATACATATATGTACCACTTATCTGCTTGAACATATCCGAAAATGCAAAAACATTTATGCTTAAAACAAAAGGTTATTTGATTATCATGCTTGGGAATTAGATCAGTAACTGACCATGAGGGGGTAAAAAATTAAGAAGCCAGGCAAACCTAAGCTTTACAACACAATGAACTCACAAATCACCAGAAACTGAACTCATGCAGAGCATCACTATTTTTGTAATATTTGTAAACCTTTGAGTATAGCCCATTGTTAATTTCACCACATCTAACAATATGCATTTTTTTATTATGCATTTAAGATTTGAATGTTGTCTAGTATATTAAAGCCAACAGATACTGCTTAATAAAACGATATTAACAATTTAATTTTTTCCATGACTTGACGTTTTTCCCTATTTCTGAATCAGTTCTCAATTTTATCACAGTTAAAAGCGCTTCCACTAATATCTTATCATGCTTCACAATCAAACCATGAACGTACCTATTATAAATATTCAAATATTTTACAAAGATTTTTGTTATTGAATGAATAACTCTCAGTGATCATTTTAAGAGACTGTTTTCTGGAAAACTGCACCTGAAAGGGAAAGAAATCTATTTTTCAAATTAACATTTTTGCCACCATTCCAACAAAAGAAAGGTAAAAGTACTGCCGCTGAAAGAGATTTTCAAGTTTTAGCTCATACAAGGTCATTAACTGGAATGTAACTTACATAATATTATATCTCAGAGTAGCCTCACAACAATATCTACAGGTAATGTCCATCATTAGTATATCCTCATCAAGGTAATGTTAGAAATCTGAGATTAGCTTCAGATACCCAACCCCCCAGAAAACAAAGTACATTACTATTCCTCAAATTGTTCCCAACTCTACTCCTGTGGGACCTTGTGGGACCCCTGTTTGAGCTTTCATTCCAATTAGGCTGTTAATCATTGGTGCTAATCCATGGGTTTAAACAATCTGCTTGTGTATTCAGTCCTTGGCTTCAACAACACATTTTATCACTTAAGAGAAACTTCCCTGTCCCTGTACAGAGAAGATTAAAGTCTGTTCCTGGTCAGTAGAAAGCACTGTGGGTAGCACCATTCTGCCAAATGCTTTGCCCTGCTAAAATGGACAGCTAGTATTGAATTATTAAGTTTTAACTGTTTTTGAGAATGCAGTCACAAAAATACAGAAAATTGGTGTATGAATGCGAAAAGATAATTGATTTATATTAGGATAATGTGCATTTCTCTATATTTTCCTTATCAAACATTGTAATCCACTGTTAACATACTGTGCATAGAACAGAACGTTACCTTCATGAAATACTTCAAAACTCTTCCTAATGGTCTGAAAATTGCTACACTTGAGTAATAATTAAGCAAGTTAAACTGCATTTAAGATGTAAGAAGGGATGTGCTACAATATTATCAAGCTTAAAAAACATGAGCTGAAAAAATCTTGACAATTTTATCTGCTTATTATGAAACATGAATGTATTCCCAATATTTAAAAAACAGGTGTATGAACAGAAACATTTTACACCTGAATAAATCTTTATTATTTTGTTTCTGAAATTCAATTTTGCAATTTCCCGGCTCTTCAAGGACATAAAAAATCTACAATAGCATCTGTCAATTGTATAAATGCAAGGAGTTACAGTGCAGTTTTGTGAAGTAAAGTTTAAAGCAGTGATGTATTGAAAAGAGGCTTATTCTCTAAAAGCCTCCAGATCAGACCAACAGACTAATTTTCTTTATCTAATGTGCATACCATTGTTCACAAGCACCTTCTATACATATCCTTTAATGACTTTAAATGGCATTTGAAGAAGCACACATTTTAGGACCAGGACATTTCAAGATAATCTTTTGATCCTTTTTTCCATATATGTGAAACTATAGTATGCCTTGTTCGGCCTAGCTGTCAGGTTTTTTGGGGGATATAACAGTGGTCTATACAGCACGAGTGGCAGAGAAGAATATCCTATAATCGACATATTTTGCCGTTATTTTACTGTCATGGTATCAGTTTACATGCAGGCTACCATGGAAGCAAGGATCCAAGAAATATTATGATGTAATGCCCATTTATATTGTAAAGTACTAAGAAAGGTCTAGAAATGATAAGCAATATATTTCCAGAAGATGTCAAATTGTAATAAAATTCAAAATCTGAAAAGAAAAAAATCCTATCTCTAGGAATTATTTATAATTGACACCTGAAGAAGGCTCCAAGGCCGAAATGTTGTGTTTTTTCTTCTTTTTTTTTCAGCATGGAATAACATTATTACTTGTTACATATTTGTAATACACTTTTCAGCAAATTCTAACTTACTTTAAATAACTTTTCTATAGTTCACAATCTTGCAATCTTGTATGTCTAATTTAGGGTCCATTTTGGCTATGTGGCTTGTGGTGTTGCTTATTCTACCTGCCCCGATAACAGAGGTAATAACTTTAATATGTTTTGGGAAATTTAGATGCAGACAAAATCTTATCTTTAAGTTTATTTTCTTATACCAAATGAACATGAAATCTAAAACACAAATTACCCAACCAAGAATCAGTGCCAGAAAATGTCAAACCTGGGCTCTAATAGTAAACTTTCAATGGGACCTCCTTGAAGGCAGACAAAACAAATACTGCAATGCAGATACTATGCAGTTGCAAACAGGATCATGTAACATTAAATGGGACTGTTAAAACCCATTTAACCCAACTGATGAAGTAAAAGTTTCAATAGAAATCCAGTAATTCTACATCCACAAATGGTATAGAAACAGATTCTGCATTTTTTGTTAATGGTTATTATAACCATTAAATATTTCATGGAAACTTTTGTGGAGACCAAATAAGAATTATTTTTAATGAGCAGACTTTTCTCTTCTCCTTAATTATACCTGCAAGAATAAAGGGTTAAACTGACAGAATCAGACAGTGGTTTCCCCTGAAGAACAAAAACATTAAGTTGGAAAAAATGAACGTTACAATATATAGTCATTATTCTTTGAAAGTGGCTTCAAAACCACTTTCATTAAAGGTCAGTAGACACCTCTTCCATGTCCAGCACATACACCTGCAAAATTCCTTTAAACGTAAGGATATATTTTGCTCTTGAGGCTATATGTTTAATTTCTAAGAGGAAAATCAGATCCTGGAGTAGTTAATTCTTTTTAGATTATGGAGGCAAAAAAAGAGTAAAAAGGTAGTTATCATATATCCAAATAAATAATAAAAAGTAACAAATCAACCTGAATTCAACAGCAGTGCTTTATTTCAAAAGGTTTCTGATTAGATTACTGTTAACATGGGCATATACTCAAATAATTTACACTGATGAGACATCGGCTTGCCATGACTAAATGCAAAAACCCCAGGAAACTGGGAACTCGAGGTACAGCAGCCACATACGTAACATACTTTTTGCCAAAACCTTTTTTTGCTGCTTCCGCTCCAACAATCCCTTTTAGAAAATGAGCCAAAGCAAAACATACGAATAACAATGTAACAAAAACCCTGAAGACTTTTGTGACCTTGTAAAAATATATACACATACCAGTATGTGTAGAAGCATTATGGAAATGTTTATTTTATTTTTAAAAAGGGAAGTTAGGAAAGAATGAGAAACGTTAGGCGAGTGGATCAGGTAATGTTAATTACATGCACTAAGAAACACACACTCACACCCCACAGTAGTAGAAGCAGTGGTGGCGGTAGCAGTAGAAGAAGAAAACACTACATGTGTAGGGCTAGAAATATTTGTTACATCATGATGTTGGCTGGCGATGGAGGGTTGCCGCCTTAGAGCCCCCTGAAAGGAACTTCCACTCTGGAAAGCATTCACTACATCCATCTGCAAGGAATCAGAGATTGTGACAGCTTGCTCAGCAAAAGAGAGAAAGAACAAGAGAAAGGACCATCCCATCTAAGACATCAAAAGCAAAAGAAAGAGAAAGGCACTTTTTAAGGGAAGTAAAATTGTTTTTCCACCCTAGCAGTACCCCAGGCTGATCTATACTGCCCTATTCTGCTTCTTTTGTACGACTAAAGATGTTCATTTAAGGACACTCCCAAATTGGCTTTTTCCCCATCAGCACCTGTAATAAATCAGTTCAACAGAGAAACGTTAAGCATTTTCAATCCAGCACGAATTTTCCATTTCTAGCCAAAACCTGCTATTATTTAACTGCGAGCCAAAATAACACAACAGTAATCCTACTAACAAACGACTAATCTTCTTGGAGCTCAATGTTGAACTTTCAACTGTAGTGGGCACTGCTAGGGTTAAAAAGTGGAAGAGCAGACGGAACTTAGAAAGGGCTTACGGCACAAGCCTGTCTTAAGTTGAAGCTGCAAAAGAGTAGGGAAGTAGGATAAAAATAGGTTTGAGTCACTAAGATGGTCAATGTGAGTGTAAAATTTAGGAGAGCTCATGTATGCAGAAAAACTTTACCTGAGTCTGAATTCGGTTGAGACCTCTGAACCAAAGTATCTGTCCTCGGCGCAACTCTCTCTCAGCATGATCAATCTCCTCCATGTCCTCTTCAAGCTCCTCATCTGGGATTTCTTCCTTCTGAGTGCCATGGCCTGCTTCTTTAAGGAATTTCAAACGGCTTGTAGGAATGGTAGCAATCAACTGAAAACCACAAAAAGGCACACTGTTTTGAGTTGCATGTTACTTTAGTTTAATTAGGAATTTCAATTTTTTTTAAATGGATGTAGAATTTATAGACGCACCTCTAGCTGCATAGGGTAATTCCAAACCTTTAGAATAGTAAAACTGGCTTAAGAGGTTCTACATGAGATAAATGGCTAACCTGTAAATCTACAGTTGTGAAAAGACTCCAGGTTGCTTCCAAGTAGCCAAAATTACTTAAAACTGGACAAGCAAAGGCATTTAATGTACAAAGAGAATTTATAAGTATGTAGGAGTGAAGAATGTGCAAACAGAATATCACTTCAAAATAAGTGTCAGTTTGGCCAGGGAACTATTTCCCAATCTGAATAATTTTTCCATTACAAAGCATGTGAATGCATTTCTCATGACAAATCAAGCTATACAAGCCTATCTTTTGTTAAAGGTCAAAATTAATTTGAAAATTGATTTCATGTCAGTGCAAAGGATTTGTACAACCACGGTCAGGATATTACCTAACACAACCACAATGTAATGCATAACTTTCACTATGTTATAAAAAACATTGCTGCTCTGGAAGCAGTCTAGAGCGGAGCAACCAGATGCATTGCAGGGATTAAGGGAACGTCCTGCACTGAAACCTTGAAGGAACAACCTTTTTAAGCTGAACAGACAAGAATGTCAGGGGACCTGAATCCTCAAAGGCATTGACAAAGCTAACTATTTTTTTTTTCCCCCCACAGTGAACACTAAAGCATGAACCAGGGGATATGTGGAAACCTTAAGCAGAAGTACATTTAAAACTGAGAACAGGAGGCACTTTATTTCTCAAAGGTCTGTGGGGCTATGGAAGCTGCTCAACAATGTTCTCAAAGGTTACACCCTGACATCTTCAAAAACAAAATGCTGGATGGGATTCTTGGATCAGTGAGGTAAGAACTGCCAAATGAGCCAGATGGGCCAAAAAGTCTCCTGTCTTGTGTTCTTTTAGGAACAAAATTACCTTCTGGTAACAATTTTGCCAGATGACAAGGTAAATGTGATGATTTGTCTTCTTTGGAACAATTCCTAGTTTCATTGTTAAAGCCAAAATTAGATTCCAAATAACTGCACACACCTTTCGTATGTTAACCTTTCATTCCATCGGTTTTTACAATTGTATTAAATTATCAATAATATGTAGCAGAGTTCTCAAGAACTAAGTTCAACCTTAGCTAATGTTTACTGATTAGGATCAGAAGGGGTCAAATGATTGGTAACAAAGGTGGATCCCATTTATCTTTTTATAGCCATCTATAGCCACAGCTTAAAATACTCCATCTGACACTCAGTTTTATAGACATATCAATATATAAATAACACAACAGCATACCTGGCCCCAAAGAAGAGCACCAACTCCCAGGAAGATACACCAAAGCCACTGATCAATAGTGAGACCTGTACAGCTAAATGGTTTTCCTCCAAACTGGACGATAATTATCTGAAAGAATTTTAACAAATTACATAGTTTATTTTACAATACTACAGTCCAATGATGCTCTTGTTCATTGATGAATTCTCCCTAAGAACAAACTCTAATTTGTAGATGAAATACAACAGATTTAGTTATAGAGAACATGCAACTTCAACATTCTTCATGCTGCTCTTAAACAGGAAAACAAAACAACTTCAAATGTACATAGGTACTGTACATACTCAAGAGTCCTGAACACTTACTTGTATAATAAATGTCCCAAACACAATGCTACAGAAGATGAGGTTGTTGAAGATCCCATCGAAGACATTTCTCTCACCATGGATCTTACGAGCATTGATTTCATTGAATAGCTGCATCATGACAAATGTGTTGAAGACAATAGTGTAGTGCTCTGATGGGGGGGCATGGAGTGGTGCATTTCTTCCACTGTCAATGTCAAAGATTTTCTCACCTATCAACAGTTAAATAAACATTTTTTCTGAGGCAACATATATCTAGAGATAGAGAAGCATATAAAAATTTAAAGATCCATAACAGCATAAACATTGACAAACTTGCACAACTTATTTCACTGGAGAAAACTAAGTCAGATTAAACGGGCAGTCCCCGTTATGAGTCACAGTTAGGAACCAGAAAGTTATGTATAGAGAATCAACATATAAACACCCATTTTTACCCATAAGAACAATGGACAGTATGTTTTTACAGTCCTGAAAACGTTGTTCATGCAGCTTAAAGCTGGAGGCTTTTCCCATAATAATTAAACATAGTGTTCCTTAAGTTAAACACCTGAAGTTAGACTGTGTTCTACTTGTAGGTAACAAAATACAAGAAGAGGGTGCCATTATAAATCCAGGGTACCATTCCTAACAAAATTACAATTTATAGTGAATGACTAAGGGGAATTAATATCCATAAGAAATGACATTATCTTTAGATATGGTCACTACACTCACTTCGGACAAGGGTGCATATGTTTAATTTACCTGTAACCCATAAAAAAGCAATATAAAGAAATGGATACATTTTGTCATCAATTTCTTTAATTGTGGTCTTGTCGAAAATAGTCATCTGCTTATTCAAAGCAGATTTCCCCCCCATGCATTTTTTTATTTGCAATTAAACCTTAAGAAATGTAATGCTGGGGCATAATTATTCATCATCTAAGTCAAGTGTAACACTTATTTTCCAGAAGAATAATTTAAATGTTAGATTTTGCTCTTTGCTCATTTCCAGAACAAAATAATCCGTGAACCACGTACATTGCTACCTTCTGGTAACTTAGAAAATGTCAGGGATTTTTTTTATGTTGAGTTCCACAATTCATCAACGATATAACCACAAAACAACGTGCAGGGGGCAACTTAAGGAGACCACTTGTATTGTGACTGAATGTGTTCAATTTTGAAATTTATGACCCAGATGTTAGAAATACAAAAGTTGGCACATTTAACTTGTGTTACAAAATTAGGACATACAAGTAAAGGTTTTATAACAAGATTAAATATTCCACTGTAGTGCCTTTACCAGAGTAAATTACTTCAAATATCTTGCTGAATTTAAGTACAGTGCCTTGCGAAAGTATTCGGCCCCCTTGAACTTTTCAACCTTTTGCCACATTTCAGGCTTCAAACA